CAGGAAAGCTGACGTTTCGGGCCTAGACCTTTCCTGCTCCTCTGATGCTGCTTGGCCTGCTGTGTTCATCCAGCTCTACACCTTGTTATCTCAGATTCTCTAGCATCTGCAGTTCCTACTATCTCTGGAAAATAAATGGATGGAATTCGATTTAATATCACTGCAGTGGTAATGACCATAAGATCTGTCACTGCCATAAACACCAGGTACCTAGTGATACATCTGGAGAGGCTGCATCTTTCTGTGGACAGTTTCACAATCACCACTAAATTAACTGAAAAGGAATGAAATTATGTTGTCCAGAATTTATTTGCAGCCAACAAAATAATCCAAGTACATCTAGTGTATCTTGACAAATAACTTTGATTTAATTGAATGGCAGAGCAGGCTGCTGGAGATCAAGGAAATCCACTGTAACCAAGTTCAAATGTCAAAACTTTGCTAATTGAAATGATAAATACCCTCATTATATGCAGCTGACAGACCACAGACATCTGGAGAATGAAACATAACACGAACTGAGAAGGAAAGAAACATGATTAAAATGAATTAAAATGTCCAAATTATTAAAGGAGCAAATTCTCTAATTTTAAGTCAAATGCAACAGTAAGTATTTCATGCAAAATTAAGATAATGAATCAAAAGAAAATCAAATCATAGCTGCACTACACTGAACAAAAACCATATCAGATTTCAAACCACTCTCACGACAGAATTACATTTCTGAACACTTTAACTTGTTGTTTCTTAGTCTCTGACTGCTTTTCAGTTTATTAGAAACCTTTTGTGCTTACAGATCCATTAGTTCGCTCATATGATGCAGGAATTTAAACAAAATAGAGACATTTGATAGGAATGGCAGTGTTGACAGAAAATAAATACTTCCCAGATCAACAGGACCTAATCAGATTAAATACTTCATTTTATCCAGTGTGCATTCCTGTCCTTAATGTTTCTAAATCTGTGTATTTTTCTACGTGGCCTGAAACAAGCTGTCTACCATTTCAACTTCTCATTTGCATGTGAGGTCCATGTATTTTCATCCTGGCACAAGCCTCAATCTTCAGTCAAACATCCATTTCCCTTTCAGTTAATTTGGTGGTGAGTAAAACTGTCCAGAGAAAGGCCTCTCTGGATGTGTGTTGAGGTTGTACAGGACGTTGGTGAAGCATCTTCTGGAGTACTGTGTCCAGTTCTGATCGCCCTATTATAGGAAAGATAACATTAAGCTGGAGAGGGTTCAGAAAAAATTTACCAGGATGTTGCCAGGAATGGAGGCTTTGAATTAAAAGGACAGACTGGATAGTCAAGGACTTTTTTGACTGGAATGTGGAAGGTTGAGGGGTGACCTAATAGACGTTTATAAAATCATGAGGACTATAGATAAGGTGAATGCATATGTCTTTTCCCGAGGGTGGGGGATTTCAAGACTAGGGGGCATATTTTTAAGGTGAGAGAAGGAAGATTTAAAAAGGACGTGAGGGACAACTTTTTTATGCAAAGTATAGTTCATGTGTGGAATGAACTTCCACAGGAAGTGGTCGATGCAAGCACAGTCACAATGTTTAAAAGCTATTTGGATAAGTACATGAATAAGAAATGTTTGGAAGGGTATGGGCCAAGCGCAGGCACGTGGGACTAGTTTAGTTTGGAATTATGGTTGGTATGGACTGGTTGGACCAAAGTGTATGTTTCCATGCTGTATGATCTGGATCTTCCTGGAGCTCTAATACTGTTCTAAACATCCATTACAACCTCCAGTAGTGATAGGGATTTAAGTGCCACTATGTGATACAGTTATTCTATTAAGGGAATGCCAGAGATTTCAGTGAAGTAGCCCATAATCATTGCATTAAGGGCTGAAAATGACAATACACTAGGATGTTGGATTGGATTTTAACACATTATGGACCATGTCATGATTTGAGTTCAGTCATACGAAATGGTACACGGAAATAAATGGAAGACCAGGTCAAACAGCATCGAATTTCTGTGGAATGGCTACTGGGGCAGCGATCGCCGATCTTCAGATTCTGTCTGTTTTGCGGTCCCAAATGGGTGACTGAATGAAGCTAAGCCTTGTGGTCATAGACCTCGCATACACATGGGAAATCCAAGGGCCAGACCTTTTGCTTGAACCAATACCCATCAGGGCAGAGGTTGGCAGTAGGCTCAGAGAAAGACCATTTAAGGTGATTACCAGTTTTGAGCAGGAAAACTGGGAGGGCTTTTCCCTAGCTCCTACACTCGTCCATGGAACATCTAGATAACAAGGACACATACATCAGGCTCCTACTCATTGACTACAGCTCTGCCTTCAACATCATAATCCCTTCCAGACTGCACTCAAAACTCCGGGACCTAGGTCTCGGCTCTGCCCTCTGCAACTGGATCCTCAGCTTCCTGACCCACAGACCGCAATCAGTGAAGATAGACAACAGCATCTCCTCCACCATAATCCTCCACATTGGTACCCTGCAAGGATGCTTTCTCAGCCCCCTACAGTATTCCAACTGTGTAGCTAAGCTCCACATGAACACCATCTATAAGTTTGCTGACAACACCACTGTGGTAGGATGGATATCAAACAATGATAAGTCGGAGTACAGAAAGGAGATAGAGTGCTTGGTGACATGGTACAATGACAACGACATCTCTCTCAATGTCGGCAAAACAAAAGAGCTGATCATTCACTTCAGAAAGAAAGGAGGAAAACACGTCCCTGTCTACATCAATGGGGCTGAAGTGGAGAGGGTCTATAGCGTCAAGTTCTTAGAAGTGACGATAACTGACAATCTGTTCTGGACGTCCCACGTTGATGTAGTTGTCAAGAAGGCACAACAATGCCTCTTGTTCCTCAGGTGGCTTAGGAAATTCAGCGTGTCCGTAAGGACCCTCACCAACATCTACAGATGCACCATTGAAAACATATTGTCCAGGTGCATAATGGCCTGGTATGGTAACTGTTCTGCCCAGGACCGTAAGAAAGTCCAGAAAGTAGTGTGCACAGCCCAGATCCTCATAGAAGCCAACCTTCTATCCATGGACTCCATTTACACTTCTCATTGCAACAGAAAGGCTACTAACATCATCAAAGACTCCTCCCACCCCAGTAATGTTCCTTTCCAATGTCTCCCATCAGGTAGAAGATGCAGAAGCTTGAACACAGCCACCAACAGGTTCAGAACAGCTTTTTCCCTGCTGTTATTAGACTGCTGAATGGATGTCTCTAACTTCAAATAATGTTGATCCTGCTAATGGTGATCTCGCTTTGTGCACCTCCTGGGCAATCATAACCTTGTATTCCTCTCTCTGTCTAAGCACCCCATGATCCGTATGTCCTTGTTTGCTATGAGCTGCCTGTACTGCTTGTGAAACAAAACTTTTCACTGTACTTAGTTATATGTGACCACAATAAATCAAACCAAATCAAACTACCTTGAGGCCACTATCAAGAGAA